GATGCCAACTTGGGAATCTGTGGCGTCAGAAAGGTCGTTGATGAAAATAAGGAATAGAGTGGGGCCAAGGATGGAGCCTTGGGGAACACCTGTGTTCATGGGATAGGAAATGGAGAAGAATCCGTTGAGAACGACCTTCAATTCACGGTTTGACAGGAATGATTGTATTAGATCAAACAATCGACCTGTAATACCATAAGCCTGGAGCTTGCGAAGAAGGCCGGCATGCCAAACCCTATCAAACGCTTTGGAGATGTCTAGGGCCAAGGCACGAGCCTCACCGTTATTTTGAAGGGCTTGGTAGACGGTTTCAGTGATGGCCGTAAGCACATCAGCTGTAGATCGGGCATAGCAGAAACCATATTGCTTGTCTGAGAGCAGGTCGTGTGAGGTAAGGTGGTTAACCACTTCAGCGTTGATTAGGGCTTCAAAGATTTTGCCGAATAGGATGGTAATTAGAGGGGTCAGAGGGATCTCCAGAGTTCTTAAAGACAGGAACAATGGATGAGGACTTCCAGCAGTCAGGAAAACAGTATTCCTTGAGGCAGTATTTATATAGTTTAGAGAGGGCGGGCGCTAGCTCAGGCGCGCATTTCTTCAAGACAATGGCTGGTATGCCATCTCCACCACTAGCCTTGTGGGTGTCTAAATTGGAGATAATGCCCAATACCAATGACGGGGTTATGTGTAACCCGCTCAATAGGGCCTCAGTTCTTAGAGGGAAGTCTGGTATGGGTACTCCGGAGGAGTCGAGCGTTGAATTAAATGAGAATTTCCGAGCAAAGCATTCAGCCTTGTCGGTAGAGGAGGTCAGGACCTCGAACTGGTTGAACAAAGGAGGTATGGAAGGTTTTCTATTGTTCAGGACGCTCTTGCAGAGCCGCCAATAATCTTTGGAGCCAAATTTGCGAGATGCAATACGCTCCTTCATCTATTGACTTAGCTTCGTTGAGGACACGCTTACACTCGTTATGGGCGGAGGCAAAGAGACGTCTATTGCAGTCCGACATGTCGCTACGAAATAGGTGAAAAAAGTGGTTCCTATGGGCAATGGCGGCTGAGCAAGCAGCGGAGAAACAAGGGGAGGAGTGCGAGTTGACCTTAAATTTCCTTGAGGGGATGAAAGCGTCGATTCCAGCTTTAACCCAGGATGAGACCTCAGAGAGAGAGGGCCTTGTCTATGCTGTCAGATATGCTATCGAGTATCGCACAGTCTTGAGAGGATGGAGAGCGATAGCGGAAGTTGAGATAGCTTACGGCATTGAGGAGAGATAGTCGGAGACACGTGTACGAATGGTCTGGCGATTCGAGAGACAACTCTCTGGCCAGGTGGAGATGGTCCTTGACGTAGACACCAAGGCCGTGCATGTGGATTAGAGAGTCTTTCCTGAGAAGAGGAAGGTAGCCGGGGATCGAGAGATCAGAGGAGGGAATAGACGAAACAAGGTTGGTCTCACACAGAGCCAGTATATCCGGGCAGTTTGCAGTGAGGAAAGATTCCATACTACAGAAGTTTGTTCTAATGCCACGGATGTTGGAGAACGAAATGTTGAGGGGTTTAGGTGATTTTTGAGGGGCTGGTTTAGGTTTACTTTTTTGGTTCTTTTGAGTCTTCATGTGGAGTAATTGTTGGAATATGAGAAGGCCTGAAGTAAGAGAAGCAGATGGTTATCGACCGCAACATGAGCAGAGAGGAGTTGGCACAGCCTGCATCATAATGTGGTCTCAGGGTTGCCCACCAGAGGTGAATGCAGGCACACCTTTCCATGCGCGTCATGGCACTACAAACACCCCGGTATTATACAACTGTTGATCAGAGCGGCCGCTCAAGACGCTACACGAGTTAGGGCTCCTAACTACCAGTCGGAAACAGCAACCAGTGAACTGTCAACCGTGTACCCTCAAAATAAAGAGGCAATGCCACAGACTGCACACGTCACGGAAGAAACACATCAGCACTAGTACAGAGGCCAGAGAGAGAGAGAGAGAGAGAGTGAGAGAGTTCCGGGAACCCCTTCCTAGACAAGAAACATGTCCAGGAGAAGGGAGAGGAGTGTTGACCGGGCGATAGGAGGGTCTACGTACTCCTATTAGATTGCCCACTGAAACTAAGTAAGATATATCTAAGCACCGACTCTTTAACTTCTGATAACGAAGAAGAAGCCCAGAATTATCCCATGGAGTTTATAAACACACTTACACCTTCTGGAATGTCTCCCCATTGCCTTAACTTAAAAGTTGGAGTAATTATTATGCTTCTTAAAAGCCTCTCTATAATACAATGTCTATGCAACAGAACTCGCTCGGAAGTAATTCAGCTCCACGAGCATGCATCGTAGCGTCAAATATCAAACGAAAGTACTGATAACAAGAATCAAACTTAAACCAACCGATGCAAACATTCAATTTGTTCTACATCTGACCTAGTTCGCGGTTCATCTATCCTATTCTATGACAAGCAATAAAGAACAGGGGCAAACATTAGATAGGGTTAGCATACACTTGCCACAATCATGTTTCACTCATGTAGCGGTTTCGAGAGCAAGGGCGATGAACACTGAGATTTAAAGTGATACCTCAAAACAAATCCATTCAAGGCCGCAGAAGGGGATCACCTTCACTAGAAACATTGTATATAGGGAATTGCTGTAACGGATATATTTCATATATACTTTCGCACAATAACTTAAAATAAACTTATATTATTAAAAATGAAATAAAGGATAATATAATTTTTTATTCACCAAAATAGCGCAAATTAAACAATTCTGATTAACTGATAAATATTCATTGGATGATATTTAAATTATCCGTGAATTTTTTCACGGCTACAGCTTGTTACAATTGATTCAATTATATATCAATCATTATTTGTAATTTCTTATAGACACTTATCATGCGTCTGGTAGTAAGGCTTCTGGTCGTGAGATTGAAGATTTTAAAGGGCGTGGAATCACCTATCACCTGTTGTTCCCAGGACTACCCTGACCAGGTTTGGTAGCACCTGTCATGGTTCTAGCTATGGGCAAATAGTCAACACCTAAAACATAGCAAAACACTGAAAATGTAAAAATATATTTGTATAGTAAAATTATAGACAACACATTTTTATATAAAAGAAGTTACAAACAATACCTATTTCTAGTAAAATTACCAACAATACAATTTTATAGTAGAATTATCAACAATACATTTTATCTGTAGTTAAAGGCATGAAGATGAGGCACGGCGGAGTAATGGATAACGGCTCGGATTGAGGAATCGGAGAGCTAAGTTCGAATTCCAGTCGAATCCATTACATTCACTTACGTGCTAATATCCTTGGGAAAGGTATGAATCCTCTTCTTTTTTCCCCAACTATGGGTAAACAGTAGTACAGACCGGGTTCTACAGCCTTGGATGGCTACTGGTCTACCGCAGAAAATGTCAACCTACTGCGGGGAAAAATCTGCCTCGTCAGTCATGTATTGAAAGATACATGATCGCCTAAGCGTGTATTACGCACGGCACATAACTGAAGACATACAGTTGCGTTCAAAATATATTTAGTTGATGCCATAAAACTGTGTTCAGAATATTTAGATTTTGGCATTAAATAACCCATAAAGATGTTGATATGCCGCTAAACAAAATCACCCAATTTATCAAGCGGCTCTTCGGTTATTATCTTTATCAAACCGTTTTGAAGCGACCAAAAACTTTAATAACCTGTTAGTGCAAGGACAAGTGAATATAGAAGATGGAACAGAAAAGAACAACCGAGTACCAAAATTTTTACTGTATTCTTCTTGCGATATGGGGCCTTGCAGAAAATAACATTTTTGCTGTTGCAGAGCGCTTTTCGACAGAATTTTCTTGGACATGTTGCAGCTGCTGAACCTAAAAATTTGCATTTAATATTTTATTGCGTTTTAAGTACTCTAAATGAAAATTACTACGACTATCCCACCAGGCGCTCAACATTACCTTTCTTCTATGTAGCTCAGCTTTTGAGTTCGATAGTAGAAATTTGTCAGTCAACCGTTTTTTGTATTAAACATTGTCGTATGTAACACATTTTTGATCGTCTTTTATATTTAATGCACGGTTACTTAGTATGATATATTTTTTATTAAAATTTGATAACAAAAACGAAAATTATTTATGACCCACCTTTGTGAAGAATGTGTAACAAATTAGAAACAAATGAATATCTCTGTTGAAAGAAATAGATTATGGAATGAATAAAGACAAAAGGAAAAATTACCTTAGCCGATTTGTTTCGTCGTCTTAGGGACGATATCAAAGCAAATGCCTTGATAAAGTCCTTCAGAAGACGAAATGCGTCCGATAAGATAGGTTTTTCCTTTTCTCTTTATTCATATTTGCACCTTTACAGATATACAGCATCTGAAATTTTACAGATTATGGAATGCATATAAATATGCCAAGCATTTTTAAGTTCTTGTTTTAGAAATATAATGCAAGTATATTCATCTAATTGTTCTGTATCTTCACAAATTTTGTTTTCTACAATTGTATCTACCATTGTCTGTCGTTAGTTATTAAAATTCATATTATTTTCTTTTACAGACAAGAATGTGTTTATTTCTACAAAGAAAGATAAATATTTGGTAGAACCAATTGACAGCAAATGTCTTATATAGTAAAAATCCAGAAATCTTTAAAGATTGATCCATTAACACCAAGCATGCGGTTTAGAGCGAGATTATCGAACATTAGCTTGATTGATTTATTTGTTTTTGTTACAGATTATCAAACTTTTGCGGGTTATATAAAACCGGAAAGTATTTCTACAATGTAAGAATTTTTTTTGAAATAATCATGATTTACTGGTACAAGTCATACTAATTAAATCATATCTGGGGGGGGTGTGGATTCATACCTTTCTCAAGGTTATTTGTGCGTAAGGAAATATAACAAACCCAACTGGAATTGGAACTCGAGTCTCCGATTTCCAATTCCGAGCCATTATCCATTAAACCACCAGCACATCCAGGCTTACTGCATCTGATATTCCCAAAGAGTCACCCATCTAAGTACGTACCAGGCTCGACATTGCTTAACTTCGGTTATCGTACGAGAACCGGTGTCCGGACGTGATACGGCTGTAAGCCTCGAACATTAGCTTAGGTAATTTAGTATATCTGTGATTAATGACATTTTATTTTGAAAGTTGCTCACAGAAAAGAATCAGTGTGTCTGTCTCAGTTAAAATAAATAAATCAAACTTTAGTTATTGAGTAGTTTGTTTTTTGGGGTTATTTTTATTTATTTATTTTATTTTTTTATTTTATTGAGGGGGCGGATAAAATATTTAATCTGAAAAGTTTGAATAATATATAAAGAAAATTGCTTAAGCTTACAATAAATTTAAGTGAAGCTATTGGATGATTTCTGTTTAGCGGTATATCAATCTATGGGTTATTTAATGCCAAAATTTAAATATTTTGAACGTAATTGTATGCCTACGACTACAGATAAAATGCATTGTTGATAATTCTATTATAAATCTGTATTGTTGGTCATTTTACTACAAATAGGTAATGTTAGCAATTTTTTATATAAAAATGTATTGCTGGTAATTTTACTATATAAATGTATTGATGGTAATTTTACTATAATTTTTTTTTTTTTTAAATTTCACCCATATCAAGGCGAGAAGCCACTATCACGCAAGGGGTTATAGAGGATTTGGAGCGAGAGCAGGTAGGAATGATAGAGGAAATGATGAAGAGAAGGATAGTGGATAGATCAAGGCAACTGGAGATGTCGATTGACATTACATTTGAATAGTTGGAGATTATAGCTATCAGGGAAACAGGAATAAAGAAGGGAGTTCCACAGGCGATAGGTACGAGACATGAAGCTATTGGAGTAGAAGAGACGGCTACATTTAACAGTTTCAACAGTGAAAGGGTGAGAGAGGGATGCCAGCCTCGTAGGGCGCTTGAATTCGCGAAGTCTGGGAACCAGCGAATGCAGCTCATCGGAGCATTGCTGGTCATTTTGTTCTGAAAATATATTTTTATACTTTTTGCTCATTGTTTGGGCGTTCACTATTTGGCTATAGCTTGGACCCCCTAACAGGTGCTTTCACACCGGGTCAGGAATTACCACGCTCCTCAAAACCTATAATCTCCCGATCAGAAGCCTTGCTGCCGGATATGATTTATCGCCATATCCAAGACTTCGGAGGTATCGAAAGAAAAGCATAAATGACTGTATAATTCCAATGAATACCGAACTTACACGAATACAAAACTGAGTATGAGGTGCTAACAACTGTTATATAGTCATATATGTTGGCTTAGGAATGGAATATTTATTTAAGGAAAAGAGATATTTGAAAATGTTCGGGGCGTAGATTTATATTTTGGTCATATTCAATAGCGGTCCTCCCGAGCATTTTTCATCTAAGTAAGTTATTCACTCTTTTAATAAGTGTAGCAGTTCTTAGATCGAAGTTGTGTTGAACTTATTTCTGTGTATGACTAATGTATTTGATTAGTTGATGTGGTCATAAATACTTCTTTTAATTTTAGAAAATTAAAAGAAATCGGTTAAATTCAAAACCTTCTCTTATTTTAAATAGATAATACTAATATAATTTCTCAAACTAAAATAATATGAATAATAATTGCGTTATAAAATAATCAACAATAACGACATTTGCTCACTTTCGTTTATAAGACATTAAATTACATCACTTAGCATCCTCCATAATTCACCTTGACTTTCAGTTAGCATGAAGTATATTCATGAGCGGTGTGTGTGTGTGTGTGAGTGTGTATTAATGTGTATTGGGCGTCAACCTTTCTTTTAAATATCTTTCGTTAAATATGATTGACAAAGAAAGATTAATTAAATTTTTATTTAGTTTTACAGCGTTCTTACATTTTTCCGTTTGGTGACAGTGAGATGAAAATTATATATATATATATATATATATATATATATATATACGCACTTACACTTATACTTACAAACATATATATACACACACGCACACTTTTACTTGCAAGCACATAAACACACACACATACACACACTCACACATATATATAGCAGGCCCATAGTGAATTTACCGCCACTTGTGTTAATTGCTGTTATATGCTGATCGCGTTTCGTTTGTTTCGCCTTCATTTAGAAAAAAATCAAATCAACCCGTTACATTAACGAAATAGTCTAAAAGATTAAATTTTTCTCTCATGTGCTTAATTTCTTATCAAGCTTGGTTTATAAAATTACGAAACCACCCAGTGAGAATAGAAATCTTTGTCAACTGGTCTACGCGATTAAATTGATAACTGTTATTGCTTAAAAGTTAAATGCCTGCTCTTAATAGACTGTTAAACAGTTGTTATAATTATTTATTTTTTTCTCCTAGTCAAGTGGGTACACACATAATACTCTTGTTTTACTGCACTCATAAATATCAAATCAGTACCAGAATTCATTAAATGAATAACAATAAAATAAGAAAAATATAAAATGTTTCATGTTTTATCTGCAATTCGCATAAACTATGTTATTAAATTTAATTATTTCTAAATCCTTTATTCCTTCCTCTTGATGCCTTAATGGCCTATAATAATCAATGTTAAAAACGAAGTTATCTCCCTTAGACTTGTACATAAAGGGAGAAAATTCTTACTAAATCTAAATATATTTATCATTGTATTTTAATATGAAACAACGCCGCACCCAAGTGTAAAAGACTAAATGGGAATCAAACGCAGTATGACTCAAGATGATCCATCCTTTCTGAAAATTAGATATTAACTCTTTTAATTAAATATTACTACTAATGATTGTGTACCGATGATTTGAATGATGGCAATAAATAACTGAAATTAAAATGAAAGAAATATTATTCAAAAATCAAAATCTAATCATGTGAAGGAAAACAACTAAAATTAAGAAGAAAGAAGTACAAGTCAATATTTAAGCATAGCCGACAATCAGAATCAAGTAGTGGGGGGACACTGGGGAATGTGAGAAAGGAAACATTTTAAATATATAAAAACAGATGAAACCTGAAATAAATTAAATATAAAGTAAGTTTTTATTTCACTCTTTGATTGCATGCCCTTCCGATATGGATACCCGGGGCCTTCGCACCCTCTGATCCCCCTACCTACCCACTACTGCAAAGCTACTGTCGACAATGTTTCATCTATGTGATATTTAACGTCTTTCACATCAAGTCGGGTAGATGACAAAGAAGAGACAATTGAACAGTTTAGTTTTGGGAGAACTGTTCAAAATCTGTCTGAAAATCTCATATCGAGAAATTCCTTCGTCAACAAATTTATCGCCATCTGGAAATTATCATCTTCTAATGTAAGGTGGGATATTAACTGCAGTTCATAGTCAGTGAGATAACTTTTCAGTAGTGCGAACTTCGCTTTATTTGAGACAATAGAACTCACGCAGTTATAAAAATGCGCTAAAAAAAAAGTTTAAATTCGAATCTTGAAGGATTGACCACACCAAAAACAGCACACTGCAACTTCGGAGCTGCGATCCCTAAATGTCCAGTCTCACTGGTCTAACAGTTTAATAGACTCTTCAATGACGGCTGGCTGGTTATTAACACAGACTCGGAAACTATATTCATATCTCTAGTCAGCTATAAAACCACTATCCTACAAATTCAGGTTTGCTTTAATACAAATCTCTTTTATTTTATCATCTAGGGCTCGAATCTATTTCAGTAGATTTTTAATAATAGCCTCTTCTTCCATATAAGTTCCTTTATTTCTCTAGTAATTCTAAACTTAGATTAATGTCCTTTTTAGATTATGTTTGCAGTCAGTAATGCTTTGACGCCTTATATATCTTTACAGTTTTACATCTTGAAATCGTTTTATTTTATTTTTTTTAATATATCACACCACTTGTTTGAAAATTTCTTCATGTGGTACAAGGCAAATCTTAAAATTTTACAGAGAAGGCTATAATAATTTTTAGGAGGTTACGTGTCCTAAAGAATGATGAAGGCAAAAAAAAAACATTAATTACACTTCGTAAAAGCAAAAAGAAATCTTTTCTTTCTCTCTTTCTGTGTGTGTGTGTGTGTGTGTGTGTGTGTGTGTGTGTGTGTTTCACATATAAAATGACAGCAGCTTAAGAGAGACCCTCTCTCAATACCTTTCTATTTAATCTGTCTCGCTCGAATTTTTTTAGATTTTCCGTCATCATGCCAATATATTTTCTTTCATATAAATATACATACCTTCTTTAGTAAATTTTTAACACCTTCCACATCAAGTTGGGCAGATGACAAAGAAGAGACAGTTGAACAATTTAAAGATATTTTATATACAACAAAAAGATATATATCAAAGACAAGAAATAAGAGAATTGCTAATATAAATGTGCTTTTTGCAGGTATTACCAAACAATATGGTATATACTAATACATTTCAGTTTGAAATAGTTTGATACACTTGTTTATCATTCAAAACAAGGGTTGTTTGTCTTGGAGCCATCCGGAATGTTCAAACACATATCTATTATTATTATTATTCATCATCATCTTAAGACCTAAGGCAGGTCGTGGTGTGTTTTATACATTCATGTTAATTTTTTTTTTTTTTTCTCCGATGAAGTTGCTAGTCAAAGTTCTCCTTAGTGTGTGTGTACTTAATAAGGCTTCACGTTTCAATGTTACTGTTCCATTTTTATAATTCCGTTCCCTATTACCACTGGGTCTTGTTTTCAAGGCCATTTTTCTATTTCAATTTCCAGGTCTTTTGTTTTTTTGGCTGCATTTTGTTAACGTTCGTAATTACTAGGTTATACCATTAAAAGTAGGTAATTGAATCTTCCAATAGCAACAGGAACAAAGGGAGATAAACTATTTTTTATATATCTAATAAAGTTTCAAAATTAATATCTTGAAATTTTACAATTAACTGTTAATGCTACTCGTGTAAATTAGGCTATTAAAATTAAGATGAAAGAATTACTAGTCAAAGATCGGTAATAGTTGGCGGTGCCGATGTTCATTCATCTAATAAAATTTTGTCAACATATTTCAAGTTATTTCCTTTTCATATTTTTTGCTGCAATAGTTGGTTCTTGGCATTTCCTTCTAAATGG